AACAAAATTATAAGGAGTGACGTAAAATTAAAATGTTTCATTGGATATTTGTAATAAAACATTCTATGCAAAGCATTCATGAGTAGACACGTGTTTTGTACTTGAAGAATTATATGATTCTTCCCATTAATACAACCAATAAATTAAATTGTAAACACATTTCTTGGTTCAGGGAATGGATGGATGGTTGCAGCGGTAGTCCTTATCGTGCTGACAGTATGTCTAACAGGCGTAATACTCTTCTTGGTATTTCACTATCGACTATGGACATTCCAAAAACCAAAGCTTGGAAACAAGGTAACGGATACTACAACAACCGTATCTCAACACGAAGCAAATGTCAGGGATTGATTTTACAACTTCTCTACACTGCGCAAGATAGATCCAACAGGGGACTGGCAGTATTTGACATTCTTGAAAAGATAAGGTAGACGTAATGTTATACTACTACTAAGGCATAAAACTTTGCAGTCTTGCAGACGGATTACAAGATAATCCTTGTTAAATCAAAACCACGATCTAGATCTAGAACACTATGCTATAAGCGCTCTACGACGAGGAGCTTCTTTTCCCAGTGACCGTCATTCACATATACAGCTGCAGAAACCAGCCATACAGGCCATCGGACCAAGTAATTATCGCTGGGAAAGGAACCACAGTGAATGAATGCATTTCTAAAATACCGCAACATTTATTGATGGATGTTGTAAATATGTTATTGGTATTCTGAAAATATGATTCTCTGTAGCAAACTTTTTGATTGTTATACGGGTTAACTGTAAATAGCATGTACAATACTTTTTTTAAAAATGTTTGCTACTTTTAAAGGATCTCGGGTATATATATATATGCGCATGTATGTGGTTGTGTGATCATGCGTGAGTGTTTACACATGTGTGTATAAAGGGAAAATCCAAAGCATGGCCACAACTGACGGCTGTTACAATATTTAAACCGGCCTAGGCCAATTTTCCCAGACCATGCCGCCACTAAATTGTGCAGTTTGGCATGCAGATTATCAGTAGGTATTTATATCTCGGGTATGGCCCTAAAATCTTCCTGTATTTGCTGAGATTTGTTTCTTTGATCAGTTGTCTTTTTTTTATCACATACCCAAAAGCTAACAAATGTTATTGGTTATGTATACTCTATATATACAGTATGTACCAGTGGCGGATTAAGGGTGTGTGTCAGAGGGGTCCTGACCCCCCCTCCCCCCTCCCTTCGATTTCTGAAAAATAAAAAAAAAACACACCAATGGTTCCCTCTTGAAATTAGTATTTTGACTAGCTGAATCATGGTTTAAACCGTACCAAATGGCAACGCTCGCCCTCTAAAATACCCAAATTTTCGGGACCCGTTAAAGGGCCCCGAACTCCACGCCAAGGGAAAGGGGGAGGGTCAGCTTTGCGCCCTTCAAATAATCCTGGAACCACCCCTGTGTACAATATTAAAGTCATCAAAATACACATATTACCTTATTGAAAGAGGAAGAAGTGAACCAGCACTATATTTTTCTCCATTATCAACCTTAAAGATATGCCTGTCTATTAAAATAAATCAGAGGAAGTAAAACAGGAGGCGATGGCCTTCAAATAGCCCAGGCTATCTTCTGCCTTCGCCAGCGTCCGCCTATAGTCTTGCACAACCAGAAAATTTAATAAGTACGCAAACAGCGATTGCGATAGTTGAGATACGAAACCCACTTTCGCCACGTCTCACCCATGGATGACGCATGCATAGCTTGCATATGTAGAGTACCTCATGTGATCGAGAAATTGCTGAATAATGGATTGAATACATATAGTAAATAGATGACTGGTGTCTGTTTCACTGTCTGTCGCCCGTATTTCAAAGTGCAAACACACACTTGTTAATGATAGACGCCGACGCTTGGAGATCAATGAGCGCGCAGCTGACAGCTAGATTCATAACGGGAGTGCCAGAGAGCTTTTTGTTGTCTTACATCTCCTTATCCCTGTTATCAAATATCCTGTTCTGTTGTCTTGAAGGCATACTTTATAATTTTGATTTATTACGATTTATGTCTGCCCAGACGAGCATTTTGCAGAAAGCGAACATGTAAGAGATAGGTTGATGGGAATTATTTTGGTGGAGGTGGTGGTGGGCGGTGTGGGTGTGTGTGTGTGTGTGTGTGTGTGTGGTGGGGGGGGGGGGGGATAGCGCCTTAGTCCAGTAAATAAACCTGGACCAACATGGGTCTCAAAAGTGTATCTGTAAGTTTTATCCTTGAATTTAATCTTGACAGAGTGATGTACATATTAAATATTGTGTTCAAATAGCCTATCGGTAAAAGTTAATGGTTTTCCTTCTGGCGATAAATGTCTAAATGTACATCTATCGTTATGATTAAATCCATTTGTTAATTTTGGGCTTCGCTAAAGAAAAGTTTATATCAAAAAGCACATCATAAAAACTTTGCATTGAATGGAAGTCGAGTGTTTTTAGTGCATAATCGGAAGGCTACTTTCAAACAAAAATCATCGGGTCCTCAAATATGTTGGAAAACAGTGCAAACTATCCAGCTTGTTCTATTCAATTTCATACATAAATAACATCTCTCCTTAACTCCATTTAAGATGTGTTGATAAGAAAACCAGCGTTGTTTCACCTTTTTCCACATATTTTGAAAGACAACTTATTTCAAGTAAATACCAGTGTCACAAGCGTCGCCTTGAGGCTCGATTATTCCGGTGCGTTAGCCGTGTTACGTAAGGAAACATTCTGATTCACATACACTCGACTTTGACTCAGTCGAACTTTGGAGATTATGTGATCCCTTAGCTAAATATAAAGGCCGGGAAATAAAACCGGCAATTTCTGTCCGCATCGAAATTATAGTGTCCATTGTGGTCAGTGAAAGCCATTTACCGCTCAGCAAAACTGCACGTTTATACATGTCCGGACGCCAGGAGTACATCAATGTTTTATTTATGTTTCTTACGTTTAGATAAAATAAACTGATGATTGCTTTAGCTGTACTTTTACAGGTATCATGTCTGGAACATGACATTTCATAAACGTTGTTATTGATCATACGTGTCCTCTGACAGGGGTATGCTGTAAATGCCTGTCCACTTTTACTGTATATAGGAAATAATTAATCGTAAATAATTTCCCGGTTATCAGTGGGAAAGTACGAACAAAGATATTGATAATATGAGTCTACAAATGAGAATGTTATTTTCGTTACACTTTTAAATATCACTGACAAGTAGATATAAACATTTATATCCTCCCGCTACGACTCGTAAACATCTCCAGGACCACAGAGAGAATTTCTAGACATTCACAGATATTTCTCTCGCCATTCGCAAGCTTAAACTGAAGTGGCCTCAAGAGACAGATAGTGATAATATGCAGCCGCCAGTCCTTCTGTAGGATGTCAAGTATTATATGTCAAAGGGGGCGTTCATATAAACCCATCGTACTAGCTGGATCGATCCTATTCTGCTGGAGATTCTCTCAAAGTGCAGTCACTGAAATCGGTTTAAATGTCTGACACGACTCCTCGAGTTGCTAGGGGGTTAACTTCCTAACAGGGATCTGAATACCCTGAATGCAGACATGGATCGATCCAGCTGGTACGATGTTTGAATCTGAACGAGGTCAAATAGCATGCTTCAGAAGCACTTCTTATCCAGAGATGAAATCACAGTTTGTCAGCTCATCGATCTTTCAGTAGCATATTGTGCAAGTAGATAACACAGTTATGTAAAAGAAATCAGCGCATCTAACCGGGGTATATCACTGTTCCTTATCACATTCGTAGGAGTCGTGCGCGCGCGCACTGGCGTGTGTGTGCATGCTAGCACCACCCACTTTCTTCAACGTGAAGCATAGCTCAGGATGGGAAAAACTCACCACCCACCCTGCACACGAATGTGTTTCTTGCACGTTCATTGTTAATAATAAATTAAATAAAACATTTGATACTCAAAGGCAAATAGGAAAACAGATTCACCAATTACAATATACGTTCGGTTGTTAAGCTACTTGTAGAAGAAGTTACTCCTTTGTCACGGTGATAAGCTACAAGTCCACGGCTTTTGCTTTTGGGTTATTTTAATTTAAAAATCCGGCAATAAAAGTATGAATGCTATTCCTTTTCGTCATTCATACTGAAATCCAGTCATTTCCGTTCCTGTTTTGTTGTATTGGCGATTAAAGGAAGCAATATTCATTGAATCTAGAACTAAAATGACATGTGCGTAAAAACAGAAAAGCATATCATAATTATCGATTTGAAAAAAATCGAACATCAGCCCTATACGTCTAAAAGTGTAAGGGTGATGAATATATTCCTGTCATATCAATATATCCTTCCAACAGCCGTCTCCCTTAGTCACACTATTTACAAGTACTCATAGTGCCACAGTAATAGGAATTAAATACACACATCAATTTGCTCTAAAATGACGATCCGCACTGGTGAATTCGTATGCAGGAATAAGAAATAAAACCGATATTAACTTGAACACTTAGACGTATAACATGCTCTTTTACAGCCTGTGCTAGGCCGTGGAGTAGGTTTGTGTGTGGGACTCAGGGGATTGGGGGGGGGGGGGACGTTACAAGAACAGGGGCGGCACATGGGAGGAGCTGGCGAAGGGTCAAAACAAGGGGTTATTTCCTCTGCATAAATTATCGGCAATAACCTGTGATCCGCTTAAGGCCGAATATCGAAGCCATTTAAGCGTTAACGTCGATTGCGAAGGATTATTATTGAATCAATGTTTGTATGACACAAATAATGGTATAGCTTGTTCTAGGTGGTGCGAGGTTTATTTCGTTTATTTCCTGTCATTTACTGTCATTTAACATAAAAAAAATACATAAATGAAACAATCAAACGATGACTCTGACGCATTTGTTATTTTTGTCAACTCATTTTCCTCCTATATCACGAGTGGCTTCATCCTTTCAACTTCCCGCCCATTTTGGGTTTCATTTCCTAAGAAATAAAAATATTTGGAAAAGCCCACAGCCGACTTTGTTGAAAGATCATATCGACATCCAGCTCTCCAAACCAAACACAATATCCATTCAAACATATCTTGTTTAATTCAACCACTGAGCTGACAAAAGACGTGGGTCGTGCTGAAAAGGCGACATACCTGGGTTATGTTGCAACTAGCAGGCTGGACAATACGGTGAAAGAAAGTCGATACACACGCCTCGGGAGTTCTCATAGTATCAAGCAAACAATCGGTCCGCCAGTGTAACGCACGAGGACGCGCCGGTTAGCTAGCTCATCGCGTTACTCTATACCCAAGCGAGGGCGGTTTATTACATCCAACACCAGTTGTTTGCAGCGTTATCTTTCCGGCCTTGGAATACTTTCAACACACCGTTAGAGGGACGTAGGCGTCGGCGATACTTTTGACCGCACAAACCAGCGTACAGTGATAAAGATAGTAGAAAGGATGGAGTCGGTTATGAAGGGTGTGGGTTTTTTGAACGTGCTGGTCTTGTTACTGCTCAGGGAACCCGATTTTTGCTCAGGTAAGATATATATTAAACATCAAGGGGGCATTATTCCCCGCCACAAATAAATAGGCATGTTACTAGATGCATATATGTCGAAATGACAATGTCCCCCATTATATAAGATGACCCCTCTAAATATTAGAGGCACACTAAATTTTAAGAAAAGATGCTAGTCTTTTTTTTCGTAACCCAATTTGTTGACTGCGTGTAATGGGCAATTGAAGATATTTATTTGTATATCGTATTCCAACAAGATGGATTCAGCATTTTCTTCTAATGATAGGGATCAATAAGCTACAATTTGAATTTAACCCAAGAAAGCAATGTTTTCAGAAAAATATGCAGGTACATATAAATCGAGGTGTATCATGTTCATAATCAAAATGGCGGCTGCAAGTGTCTTTAAGTAAATTTAGTGTATAGTATTGTGCAATGTATTGCTCTCTGCTAAGAAGGCAGTATTTTTTATTTGGCGAAGATGATGCAGAATTTTTTCTTTCCAAAAATTGAATACACCTCTTTTGAGATTAGATCTTAAAGTGTATGGCTTAATTTCATTTTAATGAATTATGCCATCATTTTCTTTCCAATTAGAAGAAATTATAGGATGTGACACTGTATATGATAGAAGAATAGTAAAACGAGAGCTTTTGGGTACTGTTAAATAAGATTCTCATCGTTATTTAAATTCCGAAAGTAAGCATTTGCCGTCTTCAACGACACAGAGCCCCAGTAAATAAATACAAACTCCAAAATGTCTTCAGCATTTACCTGGCCTTCACTTGACGTTTGACATAAAAGTGCTAGAATTCATATTTCATCGAACAGTTCTATTGATTACTGCATCAATCAAGTATTTGATCAATACGCCGACACAAGCTAATGGCTATGCACATGATGTAACTTGCTTAGTCGAGTCAATTCTATTGTAATTTTCAGCTGTACGCAGGTGTGTGCATTGTATTCGAATATTCTGCACCCAGCATAATGGTAAAACTGGGAAAGACAAACAGCTAGATCCGAAATGCAATTAAACCGAATCTATATAAGGCCAATATGGATAGGCCTATATATATTCCAAGCACAGACTTTGATGCTTTGTGGCATTCTTCCTCAACATCAGATCACACGTACTATAAATCATCTTACATTATATATAAGTATGTGAAAGACACAGGGACACAGCGTGACCTTTCCAAATGCACAATGTATAGATACAACACTGATAACAATAAGTGCACTATTATGAATTCCGCCGCCTGACATTTTAGATTATTTATAAATATCTGTCGGTAAAATCACATTCCAGCTGATATATGAAAATGAGTTACGCCGCACCGTAAAGATCAAAGTAATAATAAAGATAATACAGATTAACTAAACAGATAGTTATTCCTTGTTGAGTTCGAGGGCTTATCTTTTATTAATTTAATTTGATTATATTTATGAATAATATATATTGAGATATACAGCGACGCTGGCACCACAACCCATTGCTAATAGCTCTGAGCATATGGAATATAATTTACTTAATGGGTATGTGATATATACGTTGCTCGCCTTACTTTATTATAAGCTAGAGCAACAGGTATGCCACAACCACGTACACATACAACACAGGTATATATTTAAACGTACGTAAAGTGCCACGGAGGTGTCATCTGCCCAAGTTAAGTCGCCCTTGTGACCTCCCCCTTATATTTATGGCCTTATTATTTCACTCAGCTATAGTTACCCTGGGTACGCATCACACTTTGTGAAGACGAGGTATTTAGACAGCCACAAAAAGACACGTTACACCTGTTTTAGAGCTTGGTGACACTTCCGTGCTGAAGTATCTAAAACCCAGGATTTGGGCCATGTATAAGTATTTATTTCATGGTGTAGATTTGGTATTTTTCTACCTGAGGGGCGTTGCTTTTTATTCAGTGGCTGCGGTTTTGATAACGACGCTGGCCTTTTAAACATGTCATCGAAACTGCAACGCTCTTGAAATGACACTGGCACGAAAAATATGTCTGTAACCAGTTGCCAAATATATGTCGCAAAGCTCAACCTGACATTCAGGGGTCAGGCGGTGTTAAATCTGAAAGTTTGAACGGATAATTCCCGCTGCGAAGACCAGGGGATAATCTTATTATCCTTTCATGGATTAAGATTGGATAAGCAGGTGTAATTGTTCTTATGGTGTGGTGTACACACGGAAGACATGCCCCAAACCGACCGCTGGACAAAGGCTGAACAAACACATGCCATTGTGATGCGTTAGTCTCCCACCTGCCCACATCAAGGAGTACAGACTTCAAGATCTGACTCGTCGCTGTTCAAATTTCTATTAGTTTTAATGGCAGCTTTATCGTTGACGTGCTAGATCACCTTAGAAATCACGAGGCAACCCACCCACTTGACTCCACTTATGCGCGGAGCCGTTGCACTCTGTAAATAAACGTATACACGAAATATGAAGATGACTGGTGCATGACAAATAAAAGTAAAAAGAACGATGAAAGATCTGAATAACCAAGACTAAATTGTTCAGGTCACTTTTGAGGACAGGTGCCAAATTCGGTGACACATAGGATGACTAAATACGCGCCATTTTAACTTAGATCAGTCATTGGGCTCACTCTTATATTCCGTAAAAATCTAGGGTCTGTTTAAAAGCCAAGCAGATTTTTTTGTTTAGTCACTTTGTCTGGTGGATTATCATCTTTAGAACTATTTTTCTTATCGATACAAATAATTATTCCATCTTAAAAGAATGTGGTCGCTGTCCGTAATACATATGTAGTATACGTACGAGTAACGCCAGCACGTGTACGGAAATCAACATTTAATCAGTATTATTACCTTCACCAACTTTTACATTGTTAAAACAAATCAGCTGTTGCTAATTCTTGGAAGAAACATGCTGGCTCTCTACTTGTATTGAATGACAAAATATCAGCTGAACAACAAATAGTATATAATAAACGATCCATATAGCGCTAAGCAATAAGTCGACCTCCAAGATCTATCGATCATATAAAACGCCACCCCACCCACTTATGTATGATGCGAAAGATTAAAGCGACAGTGGAGGTAGTCATTATAGTGATAATAATGATGGCCCATCACATGACGTCAAATAATGTTACTTTTTCAATTAGAAAGCTATTTTGAATTATATAAGTATGTTTCACGTGATGAAAATATAGATAATGTATGTAATTTTGGCCAAAATTATAAAAGCCTTATTTCAGTACAGATGCCATTCTGTAAAGACCCCAGTCAAGATTATGCCGCATACAGAGTACTATACTGTGGGCATTGGCCAGGCTAGGGAAGGGATGGGGTAGGGCTTCCTCGGAATATATATTTACTTATTTAAAACTTGTTGCAAACTGGAGCACATTTATGAAGAAATTAATCATCTAGTGGGCAGCGCAGGCCGACCACTATATCATATAGAGCTTTCCTCGCTTACCAATTTAGAAAAGTTAGATGCAAGTCGCTCTAGGGATTGTAAAGCTGAGGTTCAGTTTAAGGTGTTTTTAGTATAAAATGCATGTTTTTGTGTAGATCTGCTTTTTAATCCCTTCTTTAAAGAATGGAGGACTACCCCCCCCCCCCTTTTAAAAAACGGGGACGGAGCGGGCGCTGTGCTCCTCCTCCCCTTTCCCGGTGTAACAGGTATGGAACTCAGGGCTCATATGATAATTATATGTTAGGGTTGGTTGGAGTATTGGGGTTAGTGTGTGGGGCGATTGTCACCTGTACAAAGTAAAGAGAAGCGGACTACGGTTCCTAGAGGACTTGCATTCCTGTTACACCGACCCTGCTTTCACCACTGCGTCCTTACAGCGTCCAAATCCATATACATGTAGATATTTAAATATTTGTAGTCAACAACATAATTTTACCCGAAAACATAAGGAATCGATATTTGAAACATTTGCAGAATACGCACATATGCATAGAACTGGATACCAAGAAAAAGCTGTTCATTTAAAATGAATCCAACTTCGCATATCGTAGTCTTTGTTAAATATGCCAAACGTAACAGCAAGAGGATACTAATTATAAGCAATTGCCGTGCAATCATTATGGGTTCAGTAATCATTATAAGACGGTATATCACTTCACATCGGTCTTCACCGAATGTGCATAAGACATTTTGGTTGTACATGCATTGTGTATGGTTCTTTCTGTCTTTTTTCTTCGTTTCTCTTCGAAGAACGAAACGAGTCTTCTACGCCGATGTTTCAAGTGAAACACACAAATTGAAAGAGGAACAATGATGTCACTGTACCAACCAAATCAATATCATAATGCCACATAACTTCTGATTTCAAAAGCATCCCCCTCACCTGCTAAAGTGTCGCTGTCAACGACGACAGGTGTTTCATAAGAGGGTCCAATTTCACAAAAGAAATTCAAATCAGAAGTCGGTCTTCACGATATTTCTGTTTGCGTATGCTAAGACGTGGTGAATCTGTTAAAGACCTACCCACTTCAGTAAAATATTGTGCTATTTCAGTGAGACGAGGGGCAATGTCAATATTTTAGACAGATGCCTGCTTTATGTTCATGAATTATGACCGATTTCTTATAAATTGAAGCGGGCAACAATTTTTAATCTTAAGCTGTATTGTGATACTCGCTCCTGATAGGAGTTGGCTTATTCCTTATTAGGGTTAGCTTATTCCATAATGGAAACGTGACCTCAAACAATTGATATGTCCTTTTCGTTTATGGACCCGTTCGAATTAAGCTAATTTAGGGAGAAATTTAGGGCGAAATATGTAAACTGATTTAGGGCAAAATATATAAGAGATGCTACCGGATCAATGCTGGAGGTTCAGACTGTGGTTTAGATGGTGAAACACCATAGAAGATTGGAAATTACCCTTCCCCAGGAGACAACCCACTGTGTATGCACTGATTTGATTACAATTAGCGCTTACTGCTCTACTGTAACCAATTCTTAATGGTCTGAAGTTAACAATATCCACTATTGTGATGTTCATAACCATCATGTACCATAGTGACAGGCGTGGATAATAGTCGACCGTTTCAGTTCTTCAATGGAGTGTCTCTCTAACATGTAATTTAAACCAAAGAACGATATGTCCAGTTTTCTGACATTTTCCTTTCTGAGCAAATCTGTCAATATGCAATGCTTCGTTTTGTAGCTAAGTGAATCTCAGGAAGCTGGACATCTTGTTAAAAGTGGACCCAACTGGGGCATTCCCTTAAATGTTTTTTTTTTGTCAAAAAAGCCAAGAAACCGATGCCAGTAAATTAATTGTAGATGCAGTTTATACATATGTATTCCAGCTGTCTAACATGATTGAAAGACCAGACATTTAATTGTATGCGCTGAATGAGCAAAACTATTGGCTTCAGTTACGTTCAGCTGCGTACTTTCTGCAGCATATCTAAAGCAAATCATATGAAAAAAGTGTGTAATGTTTGGACTGATCTTTGAATTTTAGGTTTGACAGTGACTTTGTCTGGAGTGAATCCCAATGGTTACATTATGAACCAAGCCGCTGCGGCTCCGTCGGCTCAACTTGTATGCAGTTACGACCTAGGCTCCGACACGCAGCCTGCAGAATATGTGACATTTTACAAAGATGGTGCCGACCCTGCTCATCAAATAGCAGTAGTTAAAGTAGCAGATGGAGCTTCTGTAAAACAGAACAGTTACCAGGGTAGATCCGATGTCGAGGTTAATGCCAATGACCCACAATATACTCTCAGAATAGCCTCGCTGCAGTATTCCGACGAAGGAAATTATACCTGTAAAGTTGTCCTAAACTTCCAAGTGAATACTGTGACATCATCGCCACAGAACCTTATGGTGTATGGTAAGTGGCTATTTATGAATGCATTACACTTATGCTATAGTTTACATTAATGCGCATATTTTTGAAATTAAAAATATTTGAACAAATGCACAATTTTTGAATACTTGTAAGTGTGTTAATATTTGGACTATTTTATGATTAAGAGAAACATTTTTAAAATGTCTCGAAGTTCAATGTTTACTTTCACTTTTTTATGACACCGTACATTTTTCTTTCATTGTGCGCAAATGAAACATCTTCATCACTGTTGTATTGTTGTTATCAGATATTTTATATTTTATATTTATTTTTGTTGTTATTTCTTTTCCCCCTTTCACTTGTTGTTTTCTTATTTATGATTTATGAATTAAATTAACTTTTTATTCAGATTTGTCGGTTTTGCAATAAATAAATAAATAAATAAATAAATAAATAAATAAATAAATAAGAAACGTAACAAAAAGGTATTAATCATATTCCAATACTTCCTTGTCAACCTTCATGGCACCATTTTGCGCCACTTCAACATGCTTCTTTTTTACTTTCAGCTGAGCCACAACCTCCCCAAGTGTCCCAAAGTGAAGTGGCACCAAACAGATTTCAAGTGGAGTGTCAGTCAACCGGGGGAAGACCAGCCCCGACGCTAACTTGGTATGTAAGAGATGCTGCCGGATCAGAAGTCGAAGTTAACGCCGCTAACCCGCAAACCAACACAGAAAGCGGGGATACGTTTATCGCCAGTAGCACGCTGGAACGAAATGCAACAAACGAGGAGCCAGTGACAGTCATCTGTAGAGCGACACATCCAGCTCTTAGTAGCCCTATGAGTAGAGAACAACAGCTGCCCCCAACAATTGGTAAGTATAAAAGTCATCCTCTATAACTGAAAATAATATATCTCATCATCTTTGACGAGTCTTGGCGATTATGTGAAATATATTTACTAAAGTGGATTTGTAAAAGTTACACCGAAAAATAATATTAATATAAAGTGTCGTATGTAAAACACTTTCCGGAAACGTGTGTCAGACAATGTTCTAGACTCAATGTCACTTAATCAAAGTGTATTGCTTCTCTGTATTTAAGTCTCCACTAGCACCACTTCCACACAGGCGCCAACTACGACAACCGGATATATTTCAAGTTGTGAAATAGTTCGACCAAGTATTATAGGTAGGATGGATTTCCTCACCCAGCATCTTCCCCTCTTTCTGTTTCTCTCTGTCTTTCTGAGTCTCTCTCTTTCTGGTTAAATGAAGCAAACGTCAGAGTATTACGAACGAGGTTTCTTATGATCTCATGAAAGTATTAATACAACAGAAGTATTTTTACACAGAGAATTATCAATGAATGACATGATTCTAATAAAGTTTCGATCCAACAACTATGAATCTTGCCTTGGTAATGTGACGCCCAGGAAATTCCTTGATCTTCCCAGGGTTTTCGGTAGCTTCCAGATTTCCAGGCAGTTACTTTGTTTATTTCAAAACGCAATTAAAATACCAACTTAAAATAAGCCATTGATCATGAAGAACATAAGGAAAATAAGCTTATCTTATCACTAAAATTACTATCAGACCGCTGTAAATCCTAAACATCAACTACCTTTGCATTTTTGTTGTAGCACTTGCAGCATTGGCGTTGATGAAGATTTTACTGTGAGGGGCTTTAAACAAACGGTTAAGGTAAGGATTCATATGAATAGGGAAACGGAAAACATCCTTTTGTCATCACCATCAAATGTCATTCGCAAATAAAACAAGTACCCCCCCCCCAAAAAAAAAAAAAAAAAAAATAGAATTTAAGTGTTTTGTTACCATATAGAAAATATTTTAAAATTTAATTTTATCACAACTTATTAAATTTTATATGAAAACTGATAAAACTAGCACAGATTTTCGGACTACATGTTGAGTTTGAAATATGACTGTTACAGTATCACATTATAATTAATGAATCAACATCTATCTTTTTAATTAATCACATACCGACCTTTAAAACCTATTTTATATTGCAGGTCATATTGACATAATAGATAACCATTGAAAATAGGAATGGATGAATACTCTAAAGGATATCAGGACACCAGATGTCACTACTTGCAATTACGGCTTGTTGGAATCTAAAACAAGCACTCTCTCAGTTTTTATATTCCATGGAGTGCGATGCATTTGAGATGAAGGGACATTTTTTTTTCATAGTGACTGCATTGTCCGATGTTGCTGTGAATAGGAACCTATCTTAGATTTGTTGCTTTTTATAACAAAGTTGAGAAATGTCCTTGTATTGCTTTGACTAATGAACGGATTGCCTTTTAAAGATACTAGTTTTTAGAGAAATTGTCAGCTTGCTTCCTTGTTCTTTTTGTTTAGATATTTTCGCTAGCTGTATTAAGTGTAAATAAAGAATGAACCGTGTATGCAAAGGATAAAATATTAGCATGATTTTTTTTTTACCAAACGTTAAATTGGTATATTTTCACGAATGCTACTTTATATTTTTACCAAGGGTTTTATTTAGATGTAACATTTGAAGGTATATTATTTTGATTAGGAATAGATATAGCAAACATGGATGTGACAGTTTGATGCACATATGAAATATATAATCAACATGTGAAGATGAAGGATTTAAAATTAAATGTAAGACAAGAAAATTACTGTTTTTTCAACATAAGGCTTTATGTGTTACCAAATGTATGTATAAACATTTGTTGTTGAATAAAGCCAATTTTGTAAGAATGACTTATGCCCCCATGCAATTATTTGACATTTATTTCGGAAGGCAATACTTAAGACAATCTGTGAAATTGAGAAATTGGTAATAGGTGACTGTCGGAAAGACGAGAAAAATGTGTCTCCATTTAGATACTTTATTTCACTGTGCGGTAATTGCAAAATAGAAAAAAAAAGGATTGTTTTGTCTAAAACCCTTTGAAAGGAGCATGTTTATTGTTATTGTTTAAATTTAGAAAAAAATTATATATTATGTTCGGTACTAGGAAACCATTTAAAAATGAAATTGCACATATTCTTTATTTTTGTATTGCTCTTCATAATTCCACATCCAACTGAAGGTAAAACTCATGTGTTGTTCTGTATTTGACAGTATGTCAGTAATATTGGAGATTTTTCCTGCCTAACCTGAAGCTGTACAATATGAAGACAGCCTCCCCATACCTTACTTGAGTTGAAAATCGAAGGCCAACGCAACCTTATTCCTGATTTAATTTTTAAATTAGGATGATGTGTTCTACAGTAAACACATAAGGCAAACTTTTTAGCTCCCTTTTTATATATAAATAACCATAAGAAGTGGTTCTTGCAAAACGCTTGGTTTTGGTAGGGAGTGATAATATATTTACTTCCCGGTTGAAAAACTTTCTCTCTATTGAAATTGATTTAATGTAAAAGTGGATTTATTAGAAACTTTCTCCATATTGATATTGATTTAATGTAAAAGTGGATTTATTAGATGGCCTAATTTTACCGTTCTGTACCAACTTTTCTGAATTAATCAGTTTGTTCTCCACAATTCAGTTCCTGCGCCCTTCCAACAAGAAAGCCTTTCAGATGATTAACTGGATTTTTATTATACACTCCGCCACAGGTATCGCGCCCATCTTAAGAAGGTTATGGAAAAAATTACCGTCTCATTTAGTCAAGGTGTATACTGCTAAAATGCTTCCCGAACTAAAATATTACAATACCCTATTATACTGTTAATGCAGGTTTGGAAGTTACCTTAGATGCTATACCATTCAATGGGTACATCATGAATCCTGATAGCGGCATCACACCAACAGTGGACCTTGAGTGCAATTACACAGTGGATCCTGGGGCAGTACGTGACTTTTTCAAAGGAGAAACGGACGATAAAAACCAAAAAACAGTCACACAGGTTTCTGATGGAAGATTTCATCTGCAGATCTCATTTGCCGCCAGAACTGACTTGATGGTTAGTCTCTGATCCATCATTCACGGTAACAATAGGCAAAGTAACATTGGCAGATTAGGGGAACTATATGTGTCAGGTTTCAGCCCCATTCAGTTATCCCATTGTTACGACTTTGGCGCAGAACAAATGTAATATTGAAATAATATAAAACATGACAAAAACTAGCGGTGAATTCTCTTCAGATTTGATAAGAGTAACACTAGAGGACGAATTCTGGAAATAAAGTGCACAAAACTTTTATCAGGAAATATGGTGTTTATAATGGCAGAGACCAGAATTCGTGGAAATACATAATAAAGTCTAGATTAGAAAGTGTTAGTAGAAAAACAGATATCATTTATTATACATTACATGTTACTTTTGGGCCCATATGGTATTAAATTAGTATAAAATTATGCAAATGGAAGGGAAAGACAGAATTGACCCAAGTGTATTATTTGAAATACATGTAACAAGTTTTACAACCATATTTTATCAGCAATTTACATGAAAACGGATCCATCATATATCGTTTACCATAGGTAACAACAGCGGATATGAGTATGAAGAGTTTCCTCTAGCATCCTCATATTTTTGTAACAGATATCTGTAATCGGTCCTTGGACTATAACTTCTAATTTGCATGGGGTTAGAAATTGATTAAATGATTTTATCTAATGATTTTATTGGTTGATTTAAGTGTTTCAGTATGTTTTCAGCACATCAACTATCAAAGACAGCGATATTTACAAATACAAACGGTAGGAGCAATATGAAATTCATTTTCTTTAGAATATGTTAAACAACTTGGCCTACAACTCAGAACATTGATCATCTCCCAAATAAGTGCCATATATCATAGTAAAGGCAACAGACGTAAACCCTTTCGGTTATTAGCGTACCTACGTACGTAGATACAGCGTTCTTACAAATTTTTAAATGTTATATTACAGGCGATGCTTGGACGACAATATCGATCGCTGTGATCGAGTTGGCAACGTTGCATACCTTGTATTCCGCAATTGTTCGTTGACCAGGAGACTGAGATCAAGGGAGCCTGTGACTGGTATAAGAAAACACACAAGCAACAGCAAAACTTCATTCGACAAGGTATTTTTCATATAACAGGATAAGATGTGGATGGAATGCTTTTTAAAACTAATTATGTCATAATTACAGTGTATCGTTTACAGTCATAAACCTGGTGTAAATTATTGCTATTTTATAATCACCATTTCGATATATGTCAGTTTACATGTATGGTTTTGACGACAAAGCTAGGTGAATGTTATGTTAGTTTTTATTTGAAATATCGTCTCAATAGCTTCAACAACTGTTTTTTTATATAAGATTGACGCCTTTAGTTCCAGAAACTAAGCAATCTAATAGAAACACAAAGGTCTGTTGGGGAGAACAAAAGGAAATTCAGCCTCAATTCAAATGGGCAATCTAGATCTGTGTGATTATATATATATATGAGTTTGTGTGTGTCTGTGTGTCTCTGTGTATGTGGCGCTATGATAGATCTTTTACATTCCATGACTTGTATTGCGTTTGTACATTATGATGAAAGACCTAAAACAGAAGAAAATGTTAATACTGTGACTGCGTGTTGCTTCAGATAGATCTTTTACATTCCATGACTTGTATTGCGTTTGTACATTATGATGAAAGACCTAAAACAGAAGAAAATGTTAATACTGTGACTGCGTGTTGCTTCAATATCACTGTGGGAAGCTGTCTTAGATTCGTTCTTGTTTTATAATGGCATTGGAAAAAGCTGTAGTATTACTTAATTTGATCAAACGGAGAATTGATTTCTGAGATATAAGTCAATTGGCTGATGCTTTGGTTGTTAGCGTTTTACCTTATTTTTCTTTTGTATTTTGATTATCCATATATTAATTAAGAGTAAATGGATGTTGCAGTTTGATGACAATTGTATTTTAGATATTTAGAGTGACAAAAAGCTAAATGATCTAAAGTTGATTTGAAGAGATTCAATCTTATATTAATTAAGTTGTCAGTTGTCTACTTGCTCCTTGTATTGTGTTTTATTCGATGGGTGGGGTGGGGTGGATGATAAGACAGAAACATTTTAAAGGTTTTGTCCTGAAACAATACTAAATTCAGAAATAGTTGTATATACCCATTAAAATTTATTAAATTTATTCCTTCTGTAAATAAAATCTATTGAAATATTGTGCAAACTTTAAAGTGTTGGGTTGATTTTATGAAATCCTCTCTAATGAAATTGTGAAAATTCTCAACCTTTTATGTTTCAATTTCTTAACACATTGAGAAAAATATCATAGCAATGGACAAACCTTGTGTACAAGCATTGCCAAAGATGTTGTATGTTATTAGTACAGTCGCCTTTGCCAACAAACTGCGCCGACAGTTGTGTTAGTTGTGATCAGTTGGTAATTTGATTGTCGATTACCCCGGGTACTGCTGACAACGTTATCTTAAGCCTTTCTTTGTAATGGAATAAAGTGGAATAACATATAGTAATTCGTTGCGGCTTCATTTAAGCAAGGACTGCAAACGGCTACACCACGGAAGAAGATGAAGACGTGTTGTGTTTTTGTGCTGCTCTTTGTAACTCCAAATATTATTAAAGGTAGGGAGTCAATGAGTTCCAATGTACTTCAAAGTACGTTAATCTGTCTTGATAAAAATTAGCTTAATCTGTGCCTAAACAAAAGGGAGGTCGCCACCCCAAATCACACTTGTACTAAATGTGTATAGCTAAGATGACAGACCAAAGTTATCCCTGTCTTAACCAAGATGGCAAATTTTAGATCAAACACAATGAGCGAACAAAATATATCTTTTAATAACTTTAAGGTATGATGCTACTTGCTCAGGAACTTTTCGTCTTGATAGGGAGGGATCACGTAATCACTTCCTGGTACGTATAAGTGCTGAACTGGTGATTGATACTAGTTTGATATTGTGGTTATGGCAAGATAAACTAGCACTTTTGTGTAACAGCCTGTGCAAACTTCCTCGACTAGTTTGTTTGAAATCCATAGTTCATTTCTAGCCCTCGCAAGAAAGAACAAGAAAACCTATCAGTGGACTACACAAGTAGCTGGAACTTCAAAATACAGTATGCCACAGATATCACAGTCTTTTTTAGTGCAATGGGAAAATGTGAATTGCCTTATTCGATGAAAAGAGTATGTTGCAAATCGCTTCCCAAGTTTTTATTATATTACGACATTCCTTTTTCATATGCTACAGGTTTGGAAGTTACTTTGGTTGGTTTTCCTTCCAACTGGTCTTTCATGGATTCTGAATGTGGCATTTTATCAACAATGGGCCTTATGTTCAGTTACACAGTGGATCCCGGAGAGGTCGCGCAGAATCCTACATTACACGAATATGGATTTCAAAGGAACTGCAACTCCTCAATTACTGTTCGCGTCTACTCAGGTCGGTAGTCCTAAAATTTGATTTTTCATAAAAAAACATTTAAGTACCACAAATGTGTCAAAAGCAAAAAAAAAAAAAAAAAAAAAAAAAAATTGCGGTGTGTTTTGCTGTGCGATAAATGTTCTATAACTGTAGGTTGAGATGACTAACATATCGAAAAGGATTGACGGCATTGCTCTAATTAAACACCGAGTGGTGAATATATCCCGCAAGCCAGGAAAGGTATATTTTTCACAACATGTACAAGTGCAACTGAATCCGTAATTACT